CACAATATTAAGACCAGCGCCTTCTTAAGGTGTGAGTTGCTTCCTCTGCTCTTTTGTTTTTTTCATGTTTCAGTGTGCTGAATCACACCTTGCCAGTGCAAGTGATCCCTGGCCTCAGTTTAGATTCCTGAATGTTTATTTTTGCCTGTTTGGAGGAAATTGAGCAGTATGAGTCACACTAGAGAGTTCCCGAAATGAGAAGTGGATATAAGATTTTTCTGGCTCCTAGGGTTTCACTCCAGACAGAGTGGAGACTGTCTTAGGCAGCCTGAGAAATTCCACCTTCTCTGTAGCAGTGGTATTGCTTACCTTATTTACCCTTAATGAGACACAGAGGCAGAGGGATGAGTCTGTTCTTGGAAATTATCTTTTCTTCCCATCTAGGCCTCGGGGAAAACTTGTGCCTTAGACCTTTTGTCTCTGAATTTTTAAAGAATTAGTATTTCAAGCTCTTCTCCAAACAGGAAACACCTTCACTGCTGGCACCAGAACTCCTTTACCCACCAAGGCTGGCTAAAACCCTTGTACTCTTCTACTGACTGTTACTGTGGATGAAGCTGGAGTTTTTTACAGGACTTCAAAATTTCAAGTAGTTTTACAGCTCTTTGCCATGGGATAAAAGTCTGTAATACAAACTATTTTGACTAGAATGTTTATGAAGTGTTTTAATTCAGGAATGACAGATACATCTCCTAGAAGAGAGATGGAACTGCATTAGTTGGAGATACTTAATTATTTTTGTCTGTTGATATAAAAGCATTATTAAAATGTTTAAAAGGGAAAACTTCGAAATAGGTAGATGCAGATATAATCTTATAATGTAGGTAAAAAACCCCACTCTAAAAAAAAACAACCAAAACCATGAAAAATTTCCCTCTGTCTCTTTCTGCATTTACATATGTACAGATGTATATATTTTGGTTACCTGAGATCTCATCATATCCTGTATTTGTCTTATTTTGTTGATTGCAGCAAGTTCAACAAAGAATTTTAGATAATAAAAAAATAATCTCCCACTGCATCCCACTTTCACAAGCTACTCATAAAGATATTAATGAGTGTTTCTCAGATCAAGACTTAAAAATCTCCAGCAGAAAGCTGGACTGTATGAAACTCCTGTTTTAGCATTTCATGGCCTCCTTATTTAGAAAAATATCCTTTCAAGCTTTGTCACTACAAATTAATCCAACTACTACTTGCTGTGCACCAAGTGGACGTAATGAATTGTTGATCATGTGCCTCCTAAATATTCTAAAATACCTTTCAGGTTTTAGAAGATTGCATAGACTTCTTTCCTCTGTTGTCCTTTACTGCAGTGGGGTGGGAATAAAACAGTTAAATGACTTGGGTGTTTGCACATAAGCCATGTTTTCTGGGCTGTGTTACTTGAAGTGTCATCTGTGGAGAGCTCGTAGTTCGGAAGATTAGATCACTTAGAGTCTCTTTATGTGTCAGACAAGCATTCATATATGTTTTCAAGAAAAAAAAAGAAAGAGGGTGTTCATAACAAATAATTATTTTTTTTTTTATTAAAATAGTGCAGGGTATCAAGATTGGATGAGATGGTCCTAGTTTCTTTTACAAAAGAGAATAAACCTTTAATCTTGTTCTACATAATGTATTGACTGTGTTGGTCAGGATTCAGTTGTATTTTGTCAGCCTGTAGCTTTCTAAAATAGTAATACTTAAGATCAGATGCGGTACACCAGATGAGATTTTGCAATGGCAGATTGGATGAAATAACTGCATATTTGGTCTTAAATAAAACATTCCTGTTAATACACACCAGGAGAAAACTGGTCTTCTGGAACTCTTGCAGTTCCTCAAAGCCTGATATCATCTGCAAGTTTTCTAAGCATTCTAGATGACAATTTGTTATCTAATATAAATTAGCTCAAATTATTTCAGGACAATCCCTTGTAGGGCTAATTTACATAAATTCTCTGAGACTAACAGTAATCTTTGAAAAACTGCCCTTTGAGTAGCGGTTACCCCTCTTGCATACTCCTTTTATGATTATTTCAGCTAAGCACTATTGTTTTCTCATAAGAATGTCTCATGGGACACTATTAAAAGTCTTAATTACAGCAAAGTATATTGCACTATTGTTTCTCTGTTGCTCACTCAGCCTTGAAGCACAAACTAGGTTGATCTGCCAAGAAGAAATCAATCATATCAATGTTCTTGGAAGCTTAGTAGCCTTCTGCTGATTTTTCAGTTGTTTTCTTTAAAAAATATTCAGCATGGTTCTAGTATGTTTTCTAGGTGCTCATGTGTAAGGTTTCTAATTACTTGGATCTTCCTTTCCTAGATACAGAAAGCCAATATTTGCTTTTTTGTCATCCCTCTGACACCTTTCCCCATACTCTCAAAGGTAATTACTGAGGGTTTGGATCCTTAAACAGTAACCTGGTTGGCTGTAACTAGCATAAATAGTTTTTGCTTCTGTCTTGCCTTATTGTAAACTGTTCTGTTTTCCCAGTGCATAAGACTATTGCAGTGTCTGTTAACTTTTCTCTGTCCAGAAAGAAATGACATTTGACATGTCCTCTGTCAGTTACTATTCTTTGTATAGCAGACCTGACCTGGTTTTGTTGTTCTTACTCCTAATGTGTTTATATAGCCTTTTCTTACCTTTTATGTCTCATAGTAGCCTATCAAGTAAGCCTTGCAACTGGAAAATTAGTTGGTGCTACATAATCTTTGTTAGGAACATCTGTTTGTAAGGAAAGGGAGTCCATCTGGAGTACTCCCATTCACTTGTAAAAAGCTGGGCTTTCGCTGGTGGAAATGAAGGTCTGGAGTGGATAGGTAGGAACAAGAAGCATTCAGTATTTCTAGAAGTTCGACTTGATTTAGGTTTGGAGTCTGCTGTGTCTCTGGCAGAGAAGAATTGGATTAATTTTAAGGAACTATATCTGTGTTCATGCAAGAGTGGACAGCTGCACCCAGCTCAGAACAGCTCAAGAAATGAGAATCTTGTATTCTAAAATCTACTGGCAAAGGGAGAAAAAAAAACATAAATGTGAAATAACTGGGAGGATAAATCAGTAACATAGAAACCAGCTAAGAGGCAGGCTGGATGACTTTTCTAGTTTGAACATCTGCAGTTCAACCTAGTAACTGTATCAAGTCTTTTTTTGTGATAACAGGGTTGAAGTTTTTATGCGCCTTTGACTTTAAAGAGATTTTAACCTCTGAGTTGTGTGCTTTTGAAAATGCTTTTCAGGCTTTCTCTTTTTTTCTGTGAACTTTGTGTTTATATTCATCTTCCACTATGTTAAAAGGCAATAAAAATAATAGGTGAACGGCAGAATTCCTGGGAAAAACCGAAGAGAGCCCCATGTCAGTGATGCATAGGGGAATACTGCCAACAAAAAGTCTATTTTTAGGCTGGAGTTTTTACAGGCATATTGCTTTTAGGCTTTGGTGGTTTTGGTTATGGGCTTTCTTTGTATGTGTGTTTTTTATCTGCTGCAGACAAGAGGTCTGATTCAGCCCCTGTGAAGGAAGACTATTGTAAATTCTGAAATATTCTCTTCCTTCCTCCGGAGATTCCACTGGCAAAGCGATTCTGATAAAGTTTTCTCCATTCAGCTTCAGAGCTTCTGCCATGACAGGGATGAGCACTTACAAGCTGGAAGCTCATAAAATGACTTGAAAAAGTGAATCTCCAGGAAAAGATGTAAGATTTTCTGCCTCCTGGCTCCAGAGAGGATATAAACTGTTCTGGAGTCGTCTATAATTTTTCTGTGTATATAATTATAACAGCCAGTCAATGTTTGAAGTGAAAAAAAATATGGCTCCTCTATCAAAACTAGTTATTAGTTTGTATCAGGATAATGCTTACAGAACCTCTGTGAAATTAGGCCCTACTGCGTGGTGTACTGTACATGTTCATTAAAAGTACCAGTCTCTGTTATGTGGGCTTACAGTCTGAAGAACACAGACAGAAAGGTTGACAGACAGGAATTGTTTTCATTCCCAATTTACAGATGAGTCTCTGAGGTTAAAAAAAGAGTTGTCATGATTTGGTGCTACCTGGAAGTCTCTGAAAGTCTGGTTGTTCTAAGCAAGGCTGGCCCAAACCTGGGCTTGCAGAGTAAGTCTGCGGCATATCCAAGAGTTAGCGTCATCATTCCAGAGTTTCTTGCTAGTTTGTGTTTCTAGCTTTGCTAGTTCACACCTGCTAGAAAGCATTCCTCTCTTTACAAATATTTGGTGTGTTGTTTCAAATCCCCACTCTATTCAGTAACTGGTTTTGACATGTTTTCTAGTTGTAATTGTTGCAATTTCTATTAAACTCTTCTATCTGGATAGTAACTGAAGTTGTTTTAGAACATACTCTTTATCGTCTTTTCTGTGATGGATTCCTTTGGGCACAGATTAAGATACGACTACTTGACAAATATGTTTTTGTGGAAAAAAAATAGAAATTGATATCAGCTGAGTTATTAGGTTGGAATCCAAGACCCACTGATTTTTATTCTGTAAGAACAGGCTGAGGCTCAAAAATAAGAACTCCAACATGCACTGTATATGCTATAACTATGCTTTACAGATATGAAGTGGGTGCTACCCTGTGTCCTCCTACCATTGACAACCCTTGTCAAGTCCTTTGCATGTTTAGCCTTGCTAAACCTCACCAACAATGGTGAAACATGCCTGGAATACCAGTTTGGCAACTGAACTGCCTGGTGGAGCCTCCACAGTAAGTGCCCGAGTGAACATGGAATAAAGAGTGGGGTGACATGGCTGATCAGAGTGCAAGGAAATAATACCACTTCATATTGATCAAGGTTGGGAGTGCTGGGGAATGTGGAATCTGCAACAAGCATCTAGTGGCATGTCTTTGCACAGGGTTAAGGACCAAGCTAATGTGTTGTGTTGCCTATTCCCTACTTGTAGTCCTCAGCAGTACTTGTGAGACCTCCTGCAGAGATGTGAGAAGTGAATATTTGGATATTCTCTTTAAGTGAGAATACCCAAATCTATTTCTGTACATACCATGGCAAGTCAATTGCCTTATCACTGAAGTGGTGTATGTGTGAAGATATGCATGAGGATCAAGGACTGGAGTGACGTTGTGCTGCCAGAACACTATTGTGCAAGGAATTGGTGATCTTCATGCTTACTGCCTTCTCATGTATACAGGTGTACTCTGAATAGCCTATGACTGCTTACCAACTCACTGTAGCAAAGTGTCCACAATTACTCAGGCATATGTCTCTGTACCATGGACACTGTGTGACTGCTCTATGCAGTAGTATAATTAATCAGTGTATACACAATAAATGTGCATTAATTCAGTACAAGACTAGTGTATTGTCTTGTCCATCTGAAATATTATACGCACCTGTCCAGGAATTGTAACTCTGTTGAGGTAAGGATGTTGGAGCATACAGTCCAAGGGACTATTTGAAGCTGAGTTCACATTCCAAGCTTGACTGCTACGAGTGACTGATGAATCTGTATTGTGAGCAAGACTCTAGAAGAGTACTAGCAGTAATGGGGCTGGCAGACCTTATCACAGATGAGAACTCTGTACGGTGTGCTGTGGTCCATAAGGAATGTCTTGTCCAGTGCTGCAGTTTCCATCTTTTACTCAGTTAAGCAGCTTTGAGTGTCAGTGCCTTTCTCACTGAGAACTGGCACCCCCTTGCGAAACAGTATGCTATGTAAAAAGTTGGAGTCTTTATCATTCATACAACTAACTAACCATCTTAGTCCTTCCTGATATCCTGTAATTGTGTGTTGCTGTCAGTAAAACTATGTAATGTAGCACTTGGCAGTTTGTCAGCACAGTGTGTCTCTGTGGGATGGTTGATTTGCCAACGGGAAGCATCAGGCTTAATGGGTGGGAGTGCCAAATCCTCGGATTTTCCAAGAAATGCTTTTCCACGTGGAATTTCCCATGTCGTGGATGATAGGCCAGTTGAGAGAATAAAAGGCTGTAGTAAAGGCAGGGGATTATGCAGTCCAGACACTTGGAGCTGAACTTATTCTTCAAGTCCGTATTCGGCAATTTAGCAACAGAAAGCAGACCCTGAGAAATACTACAGAAGACTTTTGCCACCTGGCCACCACAATCTGTGAGTATAAATGGAGTGAGTTTCTCTGTTTAATTGCTCAGCTAAAGGAAAATAGGACGATGGAATTCTGTGTTGGTGTTCTCTAAAATCTGTTTACATTTCAAAACGATCTCAATATTAAGAGCTGGTTTAAAATAAATAATGTCCTAAAAATGGAAACCTTATTTAAGCTTTAGAATAATTTTTAAAGTATAGAAAAGATTGCATAGACAATATTTTATACTGAATTGTAAAAAGTCAGTGTTCGTTCTTTACAAATGTGTTCCTTTGATCTCTCATAGCTATCTGCTTAAAAGAAAAACTCGGAAACATGATTTGCTTGTGGTTCCTATCTCTTCTTACTTATGGTAAGTAAGTGTTCTCTGTGTAAAAAAAATAATTGGATGGTAATATTGGTGTGATTGCTCTGTCTCAGCTTAGAATTAAATGGAATTTTTGAGCCTGACATGATTAACTTGAGGCTAGGTTCACACAGAAAAACCTAGTCTGCTAAGCTTTGTGTAATTGGACGTAGTTCCACAGGCTAATGTCCCTGCACTTAATGCTGACATGTCTGTTTTGAAGCTTGCCAATTGATTGTTTCTAAAACAACTGCCACCTTTTAACTAGTTTCAGAGATGACGAGTTTGCAATGGTTGTAGAACTTTTGCCTCCTCTCTAGAAGAGGATATGTAAACATCAGACACCAATTTTTTGACATCTTTTCATTCTAGGGCTTACACTACTGCAGGGGGCAAATGGTTGGACATACCATTATTCAGACACAAACATGACCTACAGGGAAGCAGAGCTGTGGTGCAAAAAGAGATATACTAATATGGTTGCCATTCAGAATAAGGAGGAAATCAACTATCTCAATAACTTCCTACCCTTCAATCCGGGTTACTACTGGATTGGAATCAGAAAAATTAATGAGGTGTGGACCTGGATTGGAACTAACAAAGAACTGACAGAAGAGGCAAAAAACTGGGCTTCAGGTGAGCCAAATGGCAAAGGGAACAACGAGGACTGTGTTGAAATCTACATTAAAAGAGGGAAGGATGATGGAAAATGGAATGACGAACAGTGTGAGAAAAAGAAGGTCGCCTTGTGCTACACAGGTATGGTGTGATAAAGGCTATTCTAGTATGCCTTTGTGGAGATGAGGTGGTGGGTAGGATGAGTTGTTTATAAGCACCTGTATGATTATCCTTGCTACAGAGCTGAGATTGTTCTTGTTCCAAGAGCTAGATTGATCTCGCTTACCTTTTAGCTCCCAGAACATTATACATCTTTTGTGAGCAAGTCACCAGGTCTCTATAATCAGTGAAGAGAAACAGGCTCTTCAGGATGGTGATTTTCATCCCACTCTCAAGTGGGTGTCTCAGCTAGATAAGAATTGCCTTTTAGGAGGCATCTGTCCGCTGATTCTAGATCACTGGATTAGATTAGATGCTGTGTGTAAAATCTAAGCTACTTTGTATAGAGGTGGTTAAGGAAAAAAAAAATCAAAGTCAAATATCAGCCAAATTAGAACTGTGGTGAGTTCATGAGGAATGGACCTGTTGAGGATTTCTATCTATACCATAATATATAGTTCCTTTTGCATTTTAAATATTGCTAATATTTACCTGAGAACAAGTGGGTCATGGAGTTTCCAGCCAGTAGAATCCTTTCACTGTGAGCTAGTCTGTCAAAGATGGTTTTTTTTCTTCTGAAATCCTTTTGTGAAATGACAGGGTACTCTTAGGGACTAAACCCCCTGCTTTTCTTTCTCTATGCAAAGTGCTTGTTTAGTGCCAGAAAGATAAGCAAAGTGCTAGCCAGGTTTCATTAGTGGCCATTGCTGATTATTTTAGAAGTTGCTATATTTTTTCTTTTCTATTTTTTCCCAGCTTCTTGCAATCCATCTCTCTGCAGTGGCCGTGGAGAATGCATAGAGACTATTAACAATCACAGCTGCAATTGTAACCCTGGATTCTACGGGCCAGAATGCGAGTTTGGTAAGATTACTCCGTCCTGCTTTTCAGACAGGGCAGTGCTCATGGTAGTCAATGTTCAGTATGTCTGGCTTGTTGATTTACCAGCTCAGCCAATGAGACTGTATATCTGGTGTTTCTTTGAAGTTGAGAGCTGTGATCCCCTAAAGAAACCTGATCATGGGAGCCTTGTGTGCAACCATCCATTGGAGAACTTCAGCTACAACTCATCCTGCACAGTTCAGTGTGAGGAAGGCTATGAATTGACTGCATTGGAATCTGTGTACTGTACTTCTTCTGGGGTCTGGTCTGCCTCCCTTGCAGCATGCAAAGGTGAGCTTTCTACATTATATGTGCCTTTGAACTTCAGTGTTGCTCTGTTAGTAATGATAAATTGAAGTTCTGGCTCATTCCTTTGTGGAATTAATTACATGATGAAAGTGCTATTTTATTGCAGCACACAGGTTTCTGTTCCTGAAGAGGTGAAATGGACAGGATGAATGTTCTGGCCCTGGTCTAGATTTCCGTGTAGAGAAAGACTTTCCCTTCTCTTAGTGGGAGACAGGGAATGGAGATAACCTAGCTGTGAGACTGCTCACAACAGACCAGATACTCCTGACTGTAGGAATTTTTTGAGGTGTTCAGGCCAGAATGCTGCTTGAGGAAAATAGCATCAAACATAGCAGTCAAACTAAGGAAAATTTTAGATTGTAAATAGTTGCTGACATGAGCTTCAGATGAATTAATGTCCTTGCCCTAAGTGTCAATCTTCCCTTTTGAGATCTTTCCACTCCTGTCTGCTTTCTGAAATGGCAGCATAGTAGAACTTTCTAAAGCTGCTTCCTTTTAGTAGATATGTTGCTCAGTTTCAAGAAAGAGAGAAAAAATACCAAACATCCCAAACAAACAAACAAAAAAAAGCAAAACCACTCTGAAAAACAGCCCTCAGCTTTTTATAGTCTGCTCCAAGCTAAGCTCTGTGCTGTCTCTTATGCCTTTCAGCTGTAACCTGTCCTGCCTTGGAAATGCCTCTTCATGGTGCTGTGAACTGCACCCATTCCTCTGTGGAGCTCACCTGGGGTGCTACCTGTGAGTTCACCTGTGAGGAAGGATTTACCCTGACAGGACCAGCCACACTGCAGTGTGGGTCTTCTGGGGCTTGGGACAGGCAGCAGCCATCCTGTGCAGGTAGCTTTCCTTATCCTGGTTCACTTGAGCTCTTGGGGCTGTCAGCATTGGCATGTAGAATTCCTGAGGCACCTGTGCTGACCGTGCTTGTCATTTGTGTGTTGCAGCTGTGCGGTGTGAGGCTGTAACCTGGCCAGAAGGCTTTGTGACCTGTGACCACGCTCCTGCAGATCTTGCCTATGGCTCACGTTGTGATTTCCACTGCAGTGAGGGCTATGTTCTGGATGGCCCATCCAGCATTGAGTGCACAGCACAGGGACAGTGGTCAGAGGCACCACCAGTATGTAGAGGTAAGCCTTACTGGGTTGGAAGTCATCAGTTAAAGCTTACAGTAGCTTGGATAGTCTGAAGAAACTTCCTCATGTAAGTGTAGTCAAGGAGTAACAGTCATCCTCTGTGTGTTTACAGCACTCTTCATAAGCAGATCTTGTGATGGGGATCATTAAGCCTCTTGTATTAAAGAGGAAACAGCAGTGCAGGGTGATAAGGAACACTTGGGAACTGTGTCTGCAACACATACGACAACAGGCTTTTGCGGTAGACTGTTCTGACAGGAACTTTATTCCCTGCACCCTAAATGGGAACCAGTGTCTGTTTATACTCCACTAGTGGACTGCATAATCCAAAACCAGTCTCAGTATAGCTTGCAGTGCTTTAAGTGCATATTTAAGGGTTCTGGGTGCACTGTGCAACATGCCAAAATGACTGTTTCCTGAGACACTGCTGGGTCTGAAGGGAAGTGTTTTGGCTCTGTAGGGCACAGCTCGAGACAGGGCATGTCCTCCTGTCAGCTAAAAGTGTCTTTGACTTGACCTACACAAGCTAAGCTCTGTGCTGTCTCTTATGCCTTTCAGCTGTAACCTGTCCTGCCTTGGAAATGCCTCTTCATGGTGCTGTGAACTGCACCCATCCCTCTGTGGAGCTCACCTGGGGTGCTACCTGTGAGTTCACCTGTGAGGAAGGATTTACCCTGACAGGACCAGCCACACTGCAGTGTGGGTCTTCTGGGGTTTGGGACAAGCAGCAGCCATCCTGTACAGGTAGCTTTCCTTATCCTGGTTCACTTGAGCTCTTGGGGCTGTCAGCATTGGCATGTTGAATTCCTGAGGCACCTGTGCTGACTGTTTGTGATCTGTGTGTTGCAGCTGTGCGGTGTGAGGCTGTAACCTGGCCAGAAGGCTTTGTGACCTGTGACCACGCTCCTGCAGATCTTGCCTATGGCTCACGTTGTGATTTCCACTGCAGTGAGGGCTATGTTCTGGATGGCCCATCCAGCATTGAGTGCACAGCACAGGGACAGTGGTCAGAGCCAGCACCAGTATGCAGAGGTAAGCCTTACTGAGTTGGAAGTCATCAGTTAAAGCTTACAGTAGCTTGAACAGTCTGAAGAAGCTTCCTCATTTAAATGTAGTCAAGGAGTAACAGTCATCCTCTGTGTGTTTACAGCACTCTTCATAAGCAGGTCTTGTGATGGGGATCATTATGCCTCTTGTATTAAAGAGGAAACAGCAGTGCAGGGTGATAAGGAACACTTGGGAACTGTGTATGCAACACATACGACAACAGGCTTTTGCGGTAGACTGTTCTGACAGGAACTTTATTCCCTGCATCCTAAATGGGAACCAGTGTCTGTTTATACTCCGCTAGTGGACTGCATAATCCAAAACCAGTCTCAGTATAGCTTGCAGTGCTTTAAGTGCATATTTAAGGGTTCTGGGTGCACTGTGCAACATGCCAAAATGACTGTTTCCTGAGACACTGCTAGGTCTGAAGGGAAGTGTTTTGGCTCTGTAGGGCACAGCTCGAGACAGGGCATGTCCTCCTGTCAGCTAAAAGTGTCTTTGACTTGACCTACACAAGCTAAGCTCTGTGCTGTCTCTTATGCCTTTCAGCTGTAACCTGTCCTGCCTTGGAAATGCCTCTTCATGGTGCTGTGAACTGCACCCATTCCTCTGTGGAGCTCACCTGGGGTGCTACCTGTGAGTTCACCTGTGAGGAAGGATTTACCCTGACAGGACCAGCCACACTGCAGTGTGGGTCTTCTGGGGTTTGGGACAGGCAGCAGCCATCCTGTGCAGGTAGCTTTCCTTATCCTGGTTCACTTGAGCTCTTGGGGCTGTCAGCATTGGCATGTTGAATTCCTGAGGCACCTGTGCTGACCATGCTCGTCATTTGTGTGTTGCAGCTGTGCGGTGTGAGGCTGTAACCTGGCCAGAAGGCTTTGTGACCTGTGACCACGCTCCTGCAGATCTTGCCTATGGCTCACGTTGTGATTTCCACTGCAGTGAGGGCTATGTTCTGGATGGCCCATCCAGCATTGAGTGCACAGCACAGGGACAGTGGTCAGAGCCAGCACCAGTATGCAGAGGTAGGACTTACTGAGTTACAAATACAGTTTTCTTGTCACCGGGCAACAAACTGAAATTAATATTCCTGCAGGGTTATGGCTGCAACCTGAACTTTGTGCTGTGTCTCTTGATTTCGGCTGTGACTTGCCCTGCGTTAGAACTGTTCCCATCCTAAAGTCAAAAGAATTTAAAAATACAGTGTACATCTAGTGCAAAAAATAGGGCCAAAGACAGGAAAGTCCTTGATGATTCTTAACCATTTCTTTTTGCATTTCAGTTGTACAGTGTGAACCACTGAGCTCCCCTGAGAAAGGATCTATGGATTGCTCAGATAGTGCTGGGAACTTCACATACAACACAGTGTGCCACTTCAATTGTCTGGAAGGATGGCTGCTGAATGGTTCTCATGTTCTGGAGTGTAATCATTCAGGAAACTGGAGTGCAAGTCTGCCCACGTGTGAAGGTATTTTACCTGTGACTAGCTGCAAAAAAAGGTGGCACTGGGTTTCTAGTCAGGTGATGTATAGAAGGGTGGAGGAGGTAAAAACGACCACCAGTGAGTTAGAACTTTTAGTGGAGTGCATGAATTAAAAAGCACAACAGAGTTGCTCAGTATATTTCTTGAAAATAGAAGAGGGGAAGATTCCTAAAAGGTCTCAGTGAAAAGTGTTGGTTTCTAATCCAAGAATAAAATCTGCAACCAGATTTTGGGTTGTTTTGTTTGCTTTTTAATTTAAACATTTCTCACATTGAGATTTTTCCATATGAATAAGGAAAAAAATCTTTTCCAGAGAAACTGAACCTTGTGGGGAAGTTTCCATTCATAAGTATGTTTCTCAGTTGAAAAGTTTATACATTTATTAGTTTGTTGTGATAGATTCTTGGGTTCTCAGCAAAAGACCTCAGAGATCTTTTCTGTCAGAGGCTGTAATTCTGCAGAAGTCTCAGCCTCACCTTTCCATTCAAGGCTGTAAGAGCTCTGTCACTGTCCTCAGTGGGAACATCCTTGGAATTGAAATATAAACTGAAACATGAAAGATAAGATAAACTTAAGTTGTCATGTGAGGCTGGAGTTTAGTCAAACTCTGGTATAGCTAGTTGTTGCCTTGCTATTGCTTTGGCAACGGGTGAGATAATTTTTAGTATGCACCTTTTACCGTGTCCACTGGATGTGTCTTGTCTTGGCAAGAGAAAAATTAAGGATTACAAGCTGCAAGGTTCATCATGAAGTGCATAAGGAATAGGAAGAAGTAGAAAGAGCTTCAAAGACCACACATGCCTCTTAAACTCACTAAAACTTTTCATCCTTTCAGCTTCTGAGCAAGTCAGCTATGTCTCTGTAGGAGTAGCAGCCACAAGTGCCTCTCTGTTGTCCACAGCATCATTCCTCCTTTGGCTTGCAAGACATTTCCGAAGAAAAGGTGAGCAATTGGATTGGGTCCACTGGATCTACTTACCTTCCTGCAAAATTTACAGTGGAGGAAAAAGCCCCAACTCTCCAAATGCCAATTCCCAAATCCCAAAAGCAAAAACCTTGCTTTTTGAAAAAGTGAAAATTCTCATATTTAAATTCAAAAATGATTTTCAAGAAGCCTGCATGTGTGCCATGTTTGTCTTCTGGATGAACATTTGAAAATCAAATACAGTAAAATCCCAAATGTTTAGATAACAAGAATTAGGAGGACAAAATCAACATTTTATTTATTGGTAATTACTGCCAGCGACAGTGAACAGGAATTTGAGATGGGGCTTATGACAGCATAGTAGTAACTGCCTGTGAGATTTGTTGCTAGATAATGGCTTTTTATCAGGTATTCTTAAATGAGAGGTGTTTTTAGTAGAGGAAAAAGTTTGCATGAGGGGCCTAATCATGAAATACTAATACCTTTTCTTATTCTTCTTGCAGCAAAGAAATTTACTCCTTCCAGGTAAGTTGTGTCTCAAAAAGCAGCATGAGCCGCACTGCAATCATTTTGCTAAAATCCATTTGATTTAAACCAGTTGTCATTAAAATACTTTTCACTTCTGCTTTTTATAGTAGCTGTCAAAGCCTAACCGTTGAAGGTAGTTTCCAAAGTGCTGGCCAGACTGTCTAAGTCCAGGTGTTTCAGGTAAGCACGAGAGCACTGCATTCACAAATTCTCTTCCTTTTAATCACACAAGCCATCAGAGCTGTTAATTGCTGAAGTAGCAATATGTGCTTTGGGGTACCCAATATGTGTCTTGGCATTGCATGAAAGTTCCTAACAAGACTGATGGATTTATTGCTTTAGAAATGGTTATTCAGCTCCTTAAGGATCTTTGTGGTTACTATTCTGTCCAGCTGCATATAGTATTAGTAACGCTTTTGTGTGGTTTTTCTACCTGCTGCATGTAAAATTCCTCTGAAATGAGAGCAAATACAGATCTATGCTGATTTTCCAATTTATAGAAAAATTTGTTCTCCCTGCAGGAATTGAAGCCATCTTTACTTTTGTCTCGGATTTCCAGAGAGTGAAACTGCATGCAAATCAGCAGCTGTCCAGATGTTTTTACCTCTTGCTGACAAGATGATTGACCTTGTGTATTGTTCAGAAATGCTAAACTCAAGCTGTCTGGTATTTCCATTGAAGACAAGCAGAGTAAAAACCTCTGGCCTTCTGGCAAAATACTGTCTACATTAAGTCATGTAGTTATCATAACTGGGAGCTTGCCATCTCTTGTCCAGATGGTGAGCAAATAGTAAGCTGCTGCCTAAAGAGGAGGCTGGTTTCTCCTCTGGGCTACTCAAAGGTACCTAGGTGAGGTGAAGACATGCATTATTTCACATCACTTACTACACTGCTGGAGATGTCTCCTCTGGAGACATATGGGTTACACTTGCAGAAACAGAATAATCAGGATGAAAAAATATTCGTTGAATAGTTTTGAAACCATTGATCTGGTTTGTTGCTGAAGTCAATTTCAGAGGATGTCCCAGTCAAGAAACACTCATGTAGTGATACGGGCAATTATTTGGATTTCTGTTGCATGTCCCAGAAAGCCTGGGGACTTTAATTTTTTTAATTTTTTTTTCTGTAATAGCACTAAGAACTGTAGTGCTTATATTAGGTACTCTGTTTTCTGAATGCAGCAAGTAGGTCTGAAATGGTCTCATCCCTGTGGGATTGTGCACTGTAATACAGGTGTATACACAAATTTAATTGCATTTTTTACTATGGATACTTCTGTGCTGTTAACTAAATGGATTATAAAATACTTGAGTAGGTGTGTGGCCACTGATCTGGAGGATCAGAGGTGTTTGTAAGGATTCCATGCCTGCATATTATTTACAAATAGAGTGGAAGCCTGAGATGTGTGTGTATATATATTGCAAGTATGATTTATTAAACTGTTAAAGGACTTCAAATGAGAAAGTCTTAAGTTATGCTTAAATTATAAATTAAAAATATTTGTCTTAGAATCTGATCTGTATTGTCCTGTTTGTAAAATTATTTAATAAAATGTTTTAAATGTAATGTTCCCTTTTTGGACATGTGCAACTTTTAGATGATTTAGGTCAGCCCTGTGGATATGGCTTCAACAGCAGGGTTTGAGGGGTTGGGGGAAGACTGGCTAAATAGCAAGGCTGTCCCTTATTTAAATCTTACCGTTTTCACTGCAGTCAAGGAAAGAGTAGCCAGCAGATGGCACTGACAGCCAGAGCTGGACTCCAAACCACCGTCCCCAGTCCTGAAAAGGAGGACTCAGCGATGTGTCCTGTAAAGCAGGTGCCTGGAGCAGCAGTGAACTTTGTGAGAGACACGCTCAGGACGGGGAGAGGAAAGCAGAAAAAGAAGCAAGTAGATGATTTTTGTGCATAGTTAACAGTACAAACTCCTCAGCCCACACAGGTCTTTTTCAGACCTTACTGCTGGGAAGTTAGCTGAATGTGGGAGACATGGGCTAATAGGTGAAAGCACAGCTCTGGGGATTAGCCGTGACTGCTATGTAGGGACCTCTGCTCCACTGTTGCCAAAGGCTCAGGTACTGATGGTAGCCAGCCACTCCTGTGGTTGCCTTTTCCCAGCCCCTGACATAGTCAAGGAAGCTGCACTGTGGCTCTCTGTAGCTGGTACCAGGAGCCAGACCTTGATGATAAATAATGAGGCGCATTCCTGCCCTAGACAAGACTTCAGAGAACCCATCAGGCCTGTGAGCACGGGACTCAGTTAAGAGATGATGTGCCTCAGTGGACAGGGTCCATTGTTGTTTATCCCAAACTGATTAAAGAACTGAGAGTGGCTGTCAGTGCTTCCCCCTGCCTCAACAAGGTAGGGACCAAACATGTGAGCAGATGTAGAGCAGTAATCCTTCAGGTTCCCTGAGGGGATGTAGAGATTAGCCCGAAACGCCCTGCTCTGAATCCCTGCAGGAGCTGTTTGAGAGATAAACCACCACATGGGTCCCCCAGCCAGTCCTTGTTGTCCTTGTCCTGTCCTCTGTGTGCATGGTCCTGTAGCATCCTCTGGAGAGAGCTGCTCAGGCCAGTGTGGCTCCCACTCTGCTGCAGTAAGGGCAGCTCAGCTTCTCCTTTCCTAACCAGAGATGGTGCTTCTAGAAGTTTTTCCTGGGATCTTAGAGAGGCTTTATTGTGAGAAAAGAGGCTATAAAATTATCCTCTCCCATTCTCCAAAAATTCACCCTGTGACTTCTCGAGGCAGCATGAGTGAGATATTTGGGTGAATTAGTCTCTCATATATCTCCTAGGCCAGACAAAGACTCATCAGAGGGGATCTCCTTCCTTACCGTGACTTTTAGGTTACACCTATCCTCATAATTAATGGTGTCCTGGGTTTAGCAGTAGCAGTCATTTTTCTCTTTCTTGGTAGCTGGTGCAGTGCTGTGTTTTGACTTTCAGGCTGGGAACAGAGCTGATAACAATGATGTTTTGGTTTGGCCGAGGACTTTGTGAGCCTCATGCTCTGCCAGGGAGGAGGGGAAGCCGGGAGGAAGCAGAGACAGGACACCTGACCCAAGCTGACCAAAGAGGTATTCCATACCACAGCACGTCATCCAGTCATGCACTGGATGTAACTGCAGAGTGACCCGGAAGGGGCTAGAGTGGACTGCAGGGTTGGAGGAGGTATCGGTCAGTGCTTGGTCAGGCTGGGGGGAGCGAGTTATCGGTCGGCTGGTGATGAGGTGGTGTATTCTCTTCCCTTGTTATTTCCTTTATCATTACTATTATTGGTGGTAGCAGCAGTGATTTGTGTTATACCTTAGTTACTAAACTGTTCTTATCTCAACCCGTGGGAGTTGCATGCTTTATGATTCTCCTCTCCATCCCTCCGGGAGTAGGGGGAGGGCAAGAAGTGTGGGGGGGGAGTGGGTGAACAAACTGTCTGGATGGGTTAAACCACGACAAATGGTAATCCAGGGCACAGGCAAAACTAGCCTGTGCTTGTCCAGGTTGCTTGATTAGTCCTCTTCTGGTATTGTTTTGTTCCTGCTTCAGGTTATGAATTACCAGTTAGGACAGTAAGGTGTGTCCAGACCATAAGGATCTTCAGGAAGTAATGCTATTTGCAGTGGATGTCTCTGTTGCAGTGCCCGGGAACACTGCTCTTCTGTTTGCTATCTGTATAGTTCCTGTGCTGGCAAGAATGGCCATGGGAATGTTTGCTGCCAGGCAGTCATTTAGAAACTCCATCAAATCACTCCTCTATATAGTGCTGTGCGACCACCAAAGGGCCACAAGGGGACTTTTCTTATTTCCTGTTGTTCTATTTCCCTTAAATTCCTCAGCTATCCCTGGGCCTGTGGCATTGTTCAGAATGGGATCAGCGTTTTGCCTGGCATCTTACTTTGGGGCGGATGTCTGCTTGTGCCATGACCTATGGAGGCTGTGAAGGTGACATTAACTGGGAGGCACGCATGTCCTTTCACATCTCTGTGTGTTTGCTGCTTGGCAAGGGGATGTTTTTTGTGGCATAACTGATCACATTCCTGATGAACCAAGCTACCTGGGTGGCTTTAGCTTTTTAAATCTACAGCCCGACAGAAGGAGACTTAGAAACAAAATTTAACTGAAAGTCTCAGACAGGTAGTGTTTGACATGGGGTGGGTGTTTCTGTGGCCCTTGGTGATATGGACAATATGAGACCTACCCAAGTTGGGTTTCTGCCTTCTGTTTTCATAAGCAATTAGTCATCAAACAATCAGTCATTTACCAAGGCCTGGCTGAAGCTGCCTTCCAGAGCTCCAGTTTTCAAGGGTTGGACTGGACCCAACATTTGGCCAGCAGTTTTTCACTCATGAAAGAGAAGTTACTGGTACAGAATGGAGACTGAACGACTTTGCCACTCCTCGTGTGCTTTGCTGAGGACTGGCAGCAGGGGCTTTGAAGCAGCAGCTCCCATAGGAGTTGGTGTCGTGATCAAATCACTAACCTGCTCAGCTCCTGCTCTGGGAGCTGTCAGAGGATATTAGGGCCAGGAGGCTGCCACACTGCAACATACAGTGTCTGTGCAATGCAACACACTCAAGCCTCTGTGAATCTGGTTTCTGTCCTGAGTCTTGCTCCTGTTTGGATTCCTCTGGTCCTTGCAGGGAGCTGGCTCCGTCCTCTTGGCTTGAGAATGCTGCTAATGTGTGGCTGGTGGTGGGTATTTGGTTGAGGGGTTTTCAGCCTATAGATGCAGGGGAGCAAGTTACTGTGGTGAGCTCTTAAGAACAGAAAGGTCCACAAGCCTGCTGCTTCCTGGGATCCATAACTTACATCAAATGAGAAATACAGCATGTGTTTGCCCATGGACAGGCATCCTCCTGTTTGCAGTGGGCAACAGAGCTTGGTGGAGGGCAGAAAAGCAGGCAGAAGAGCCCAGCCTGTCATAGCATTTGCACCGTTGCATGATGGACCTCCCTAGCCTGGTTTACAACTTCTCTCATGCACAACTGTAGGGAGAAACAAACAAAATTGCAGGTTAGATTTGACCAGGGGAGTCAAAACTTTCTATATTGTTATCGTTCCTCACCTGACACTATTAAATGTCACTGAGAAGGGAGGCAGACATGGCCAACATAATTCAGCTGAGGCTCTGGTGGTGAGAAAGAAATGCACATCCCAGAAACCATTTCCACAGCTGATGATGGCCAATGCTTTCTGATGCTCAGGAAAGCTGCTGCCAAGAACAGGACAGTGTGCAGAAAGCACGAATGCCTCCTCAGCAAGGCAGCAGATGCCCCCGGACAGCTGCTAGCAAGTTTTCTACCTGCGTTCCTACTTCAGCAAAGGACGTTCCCTGAAAAGCCCAACATTTGCTTTGACTTTCAGCCTGGGACAAGTGGGACCTTCATCAACTTCTCGCCTCACCAGCTGCCATGAAAGCAGCAATGGCAGGTGTGAAATTACAGGTGACTTGCTTGCTTCTGGCACTCCAGTGCTGTCATTTTGGGCTTTTGACAGCCTCTAAGAGTGCACGAAGAGGGAAACACACTGAATCCATGCTTTCTGGAGCAGGCCTTTGGTCATAAAGCACTTGGGTGGAAGGAAAAGGGTTAAAGAGCAGACAGGAAACACTTTGTTCAGGGCTTATTCTACAGAATTATTTCTGGGAAAGGAGGGGCTGAAGCAGGCAGGATGTATTCACTTTGGGATCTCGGGAAATCAAGCCTGCCTGGTCTAAACCAAGAGGAAAATACAGCAGTCCTCACTGAATGAAACAACAGCTTCCCCCTTCACCTTATCTTGTGCCAGTGCAAACAGTCCAGATAACATACAAATCAGACATCATGAAATTGTGGCGTCACATGAACAACAAAGATATCCCATGGGGAAGTGACATGGCTTGAGCAGAAAGACAATGGGGATAGTTCTAGAAAGCCCTAAGATAGAAAGGGCATTCTCTAGTCCTCACTGTAGTTGCTCCTCCTCCCTTACCTCAGTTGGTACCAGGGACCCCAGTTTGATCCCTGGCTGGGGAGCAGGGTATGCTTTTTGTGTCACAGGGCTGTTCCCAGACTGGAGTCTGATCTGGATGGCCCTCAAAGGCAGCATAGGAAGTCTCTATAGATGAGTTAGGAACTGCTGAGCCATTTAATGTGGAAGATCTTTGCTACTTCACAGCTAATCACTTTTGACCAACAAACCCTCTGCAGACAACCAGATATAGCAGAGGTTCTACTCTGTCAAAGGCACTTGTGGAGAAAAACTGACATCTGTCAGTAACCTCTTCCAACTAAAGGCAGGGGATTTGGATGAAGCTCTTGACGGTGATGAAGTAGTCATCATGGAGTCATG